TGTTTTTAAATGAGTTTGAGATTTTCCCCCGATATCAATCAAATAAAAAAAACATTGAATTTGCCAAACTTTCTCAAAATACTCTGATGAGGAATTAGTAACAGATTCGAATACTTAAACTAATTTTTAGTACTTTTCTGTGTCAGGGCACTACACCTGCAAATATCAGATACCACAAATAACGGGAAATTTTGCGTAGAAGGAAATTGGCAGAAGTGTCTGTAATATTTTTCGCGAGATAGAAGTTGGCAACAGTGTCTATCTAATCTAATGTTAAAAAGTAATTGAAACAAAAAGCATGAATAGTGTAACATAACACCACTGCCTTTTTCCTAGCAGAAAACATCCAGGAAATCAACAAATACCCCAAAATAAGAACAACGAACACCAAATTATAAGAACTTTCGCGAGATGGTATTTGGCAACAGAGTTGTAACAATTTTCGCAAGCTAAAAAGTGGCAACGCTCATTCCTGGCATTAAAGTACTAACAGTAAGAATCAAAATACTATATTTCAATTCATAATATGTCGAATTCCAGAAACACATCATATAAAACGGGCAATTAATACCTTATCGCAAGATTTCTCACGAGATGGATATTGGCATCAGTGTATCTTGACAAGTCGGAGTGCAGGAGCATTGTGAACATTCAAGCAAATTCAACATTTACGTGCATTTTTTATTAGCTTTAACCTCAGCCACTGTGTGTGGTTGTGCCAAAAGGTGAGATAAGTGCCTCATCAACCTGGCTTCTGTGGTAGATAAAGTAGTTTTTGGTTTAGGAAAGAAAATAAACAGTAGAGGGAATGAGTGAGAACTGGAGAGGCAACACCCTCGTTCTCTCATGTTATTGTAAGGTTTTAAGGGGCATTTTACTGTTATTCTCGGGTTATTTAAGTGTTATTCGAGTGTTATGTAGGTGTTCTTTGATGCTGATGTGTTATAGTAAGTGACTAACGTGTTATGACTCCTACAACATTTCCCTTGTTCTCTAGTGTTATTTCGCAGTTTAGAGTTATTTAATGCTCTTTCACTGATATGTATTACCGTGAGTCATATCCTACACTCTTTTGACTCTGACCAGTGTTATTTCATAATCTTTAGTGTGAATTTACTGTTACATTATGTTAGTTCAGGCATTGCTTTATTTCAACAGAAGAATAATGACCTACATATTTTCCTTCGGTTCATTAAGTGCACAGAATACGACCACGTGAGCCAATGCTATGGCCTGTGTCTTGTAGGGGAGACTAAAAAAACCTCCCGCACGTGCAATCAGCATGATGGCCTGAGTCCTTATTCCATAATAAATATCCAGAGAGGTCGTCAAGCCTCTGCCGTGCAAGATGTGCGTAGTGGGGGTTTGTTTGCCTTTATTATAGGGCATATGTAGAGGCCATTACTATGTTAGACTATACTGAATGATAATTTATGTACTTTGATAAAAGATTGAGGTATTATCTTCATTTTCTGTACAGTAAGGCTGTACAAAGAGAGAGAAAACTTTTGTAAAAGCCTTACAAGAGGACATAGCTGGCACTAGAAATAATGTACTGCAAAATGACAGTAAACCCACTGTTGTTTACAAAGTCTGTGACTATACGCTTGCACAAAAAATTGCAATGAGACGTTATCATTCGTGCTTAACACTACTCAGGCAAAAAAAAACACTTTGGCTGTTTACATATTAGCAAGATAGAGTTTGTTGACTTGTCTCGCAATTTAAAGTAAAGAAATTAACCATTCCATGTTTTATCTAACTGAACAAATATCTGTATGATCTGATGACATGTGCTAAGGTATGGAGCACAGAGGCCATGGCAACGGTTGATGTTATCTTATTCGGAATAATTATTGATATATTTTTTTGTTTAATCAAGAGCAATTTCTGTTTTTTTCCCTTACTGTTATTTTAGCTTTTCTATATTATTTTGCTGTCCTATTTTGAATATTTACTTTTGATTCATTAGAAAAGAAGATATAAAGAAAGAGCTTGATCTTATTCTTTATAAGATGATAAATTGCCAAGGGTGATTACAAGCTCCATTTTACCAAAACAAATGCAATTGGGGTTCTATGTTCTTTGCCATAACGCCAATGGGTACTGTGGTTGCACCAATTGGTGCTGGGTAAGTAGTACGAACAGATGTTGTCTATGCTTTTTTAAATATTGTTATGTTTAGAGGAAAATTTTCAGTTTAAATCATGTTCTACATGTATAATCTTATTTTTTTTTTTTACCAAATGAGAACCTCCCACACTTGAGATGAGGCCACCAACCCTACACCATTTGTCTTTTGTGTACGGAGAGCTTCTAGACATCCATAGGGATTTATCAATTAAGGAAACAGTCCAAAGTCTATCTTTCCAGGATATGGGTGCTGGAGGTTGGTTTTCATTCCTCCAAATTAGATACTGCAATCTTATCTAATAGGATAGAAATGAAGAGAAATGAATTTTACTTGTGTTTTTCCAGAGGAAAGTGAATTTTCTTACTAGTTTTCTATTTCTTCATTGCTTAGTTAAACATTCTTTTTTCCCTATCCTGTGTGTGTGTGTGTGTGTGTGTGTGTGTGTGTGCGTGCGTGCGTGTGTGTGTGCATGTGTGTGTGCGTATGTGTGTGTCCGCATGTCTGTGTGTGTCTTTGTCTGTGTGTATTTATGTAAGTTCGTATGTTTGTGTGTATGGAGATAAGAGATAAAATATTAATTTGAAGAAAAAGAGGAATTAGATAAAAATGAAGAAGAAGAAGAATGATTCAGAGAGGAATTAGAGAAAGATATAGGAGAATTAGAAGAGGAATTAGAAAAAGAAGAATAATGATAATGAAAAGACGACTCAAAAACAGAAAAAGATACAAGAGGCATTAGAAAAGAAAAGAAGAGGAAAAGAAAGAAGAAAGAGAGGAATTAGAAGAAGAATTAGAAGCAGAAGAGAGTAATTAAAAAGAAAAGAAGAAGAAAAAGGAAAAAGAAAAAAAGAAAAAGAAGAAGACGATGAACGATGAAGGCAGAATGAAATTGGGAATTTGAAGATGCCCTATGCTAATCATGTTTCCTCACATGCCATAAGATATGATGTGGATTCCTAGCAAATATTTAAGTTTGCTGTTTTGAGTGATTTGATTGTACTTTCATAGCTGCCTATATTGAGGTGTGAAAAGATATTTGCTGAGTCTTACACAATTTGTTTTTGGAAATTTCCTCGTATATATACTCATGATGAGATGATCGCACTAGTCTTGTTTGTATGGGGATCCCTAGACAACCTTGCTATGTGTCTGTCAGCTATAGAGCAGGATTGGTCACTGTGCACAATATCCCCCCATGGAGAAACATCGTCCCAGAAAAGACCAAAGAGTCTACAATATCCTGGTGGATGAACTCTGCATCAGATAGTCATAGATTCTGTAAATATCATCGCATATACTGTATACTGAAAATTTTCAAGAAAGAAGAAAAGCCAATCTACCCATTTTAATAATTATCATACATTATACAACATTACCAGGTACCCCATATATCAACAGAAATAGAAAATCTGACAATATTCTCTCTAGTAGTACATTCCAGTAGCAGTGCAATTTGTAATGTATGAGAGATGTAATTATGGACTGAAAAACAAAAGTTCAGAAGAAGGAAATACTACAACTTGAATTGAGTAAGATATTAGTAATTGTCGATCAAGACACAGCCTTGCCAACCTTATGATTATACCCCATGCAAAGCTAAAGTTTCTTGTTGATTTCATTAATTTTTGTTAGTTTTAACTCTGGCATCATATTTGTGGATGGTATTCCATAATTGCTCTATGGCTCGTACTTTATCCAGCAGGGTGTAAATAATGTCTGTCAGAGTGAATTTGTGTTTGCATTCCTTGAGCAAATGAACATTGTCTGGATAATCTGTAGAATTGTAATGAGGCGTCATTGTTAGTTGTAAGATACATTACTTATTTTTACAGTACAGTCTTACCTAACATGATATGATAATCACCATTTAGACAATAAAATAGTAAGCTTCCTAATGATTATACCAGTTTTTGTTTTGGCATCATTTTTCCCTCTCTCGCTGGGGTAAAAAACCAACACAGCAATGCTGCTCTAGGCAGGGATTTTCATCTCTCTTAGCTTCACAGCTGGGGCGGTATTCAGCTCTTTAAAGGGATCCCTGGACAGAATAGACTAGTGTGACTGCCTCTTTAGTGTTATATTAGAAGTAAGAGGGATAATTGTTGGAAATGTTGAGATTTGAAAACTGAAATGAAGGTATCCTGATCTATGAAACCGTTCAACAAAAAGGTTGTCACAATTTACACCAAAGTTTAAACCAATTCAAATACCTTGTTAAAACTATGACTAACAGAAGCACATGTAGTACTCACAGATGTGAACAGGGGACTGTTGGTTCCTCTCCAAACGTTGTTTCAGTACTGTCTGACAATCCCAAATGTGATCAAGTTGTTCTGCCATCACGATCACCTAATTCATTAGTTTCGTCATGTCAGGTACATGTGTGTATGTTAATAACTTTGACTTATACAGTTGCCAAAATGGAGGGTAGGTGGCAGAGAAAAAGTGTAATAGGACAGTATTAAACAATGTTTGTATAGTCATGTTGTCAAATCATTTACTTATCCAAGATAGAGCTGTGATAAACTTAAGACGCATGTATGATGGGGAACCTTTGAGAAGAGATGGAAATCTCTATAGCTCATGCATACTTGTGTACACATATCACACATAGCATGGTGTTGCAACCATTGCACAAGCATAAGGTAAAGGTGTTATGAGATGATTATAGCAATAGGAAGTTCCAAGAGCAGCTGTTAATAAAGGCCTGCATGTTACCCATGTGTGTGAAATGGGAACAAAAGTAACAGAATGTCGGTGATGAAATCTGAAAAGATTTTGAAATGCCATGTAGCTTGCAAGAAAAAAGTAATAACTAATCAGAAACCAGTTGGCCAGTGCAGTTGATGGTATGTATTTATGCAGT